TTCACCATGTTCTCGATGAGTGCATGGAGTCTGAATGAATGGCTCAGATCGAGGTCTGACTCCTCGCAGGACTGTGGAGAGCTGTATAAACACTCACGAGCCAAGCGTCCCCCAAACCAATCAGCAGAAGAGTCTGGAGAACTGTAATGTATAAAATCACATGAACACTCTTTAGATATTAAAGTGTTATTTTTTTTGCTGGCTTTTGAAACAGAAATAGCACAGTAACCAACAATACAGCACAAAATAATAATAAACAAAAGACAAAGAAAAGTCCATCTCTCCTATTGGAATTTTAAAAAGGTAAACATCCTCTGCTCTGTAAACATCCATGACAGTATTTCTCTTTTGAAAATAACAAATGGAAATAGATCACAAAAGTATTTAATGTTTTCAGTTCATTCTTTACATTTCTTTTGGACCTGGGGTAGAGAATTTGGAAACATGGTGAAAAAAAATATTATGAATACTACTACAACAGGGATAGTAAATAACAAAGTTAATGAAGTATTATTAATATATAACTTTATAAACTGTTACTAATGATGGAAATAAACTGAAATATTATTGTAATCAACTGTCAACCATACATATTAATTTGAATAACCTTTATAATAATTCATATGATTTTACATGTGGCCTGAGAAAATCATGTCTATTATTTTGGTTTGTGAAATTGGAGATGGCGCTGCGCACGTGTACAAACATTCAGGAGCACATAAACTTCTTGAGAATGCTGCCCCGCGACTTTTATTAATAAAATAGTTTAAATAGCCTACTGGAGAGATGCACACACGCAGGTAGGCAACTGTCACCTCTCTCTCTCTCTCTCAATCGAATAATTAATTCAAGTAGCTAAATGTTATAATGAATTAATTCAAATAAATGTGATCTTACCGCACTATTTAATCTCTTTCTGATCTGAAGCGGGCAGAATGCTGAGCTAACGAGCCGTAGCTTCGCGTCAGGTTTTTCTTGCCTTCATGTCGTGCATTAAAATTGTTCAATGTACAGCTAGCCGTGCATTATCCCTAATGTGTTTGCTCTTTAGCAGCAGTTTTTTACAGCAATATTTAAATGACACCCTGGTCATTCTTGGTGTACGCAAAATGGTCCCACACTATCGACAAGCATTTCGACTGTCACAGTTAATCTAATGCGTGTAGTAGCCTCCGTGTCTCTGATAAGCACGTAATTTTAAGCTGGTGCACCTTTAGTGTAACTTTGTTTCCATTTAGCACAAGCTGCAACAGTTCCGTTCCGTGTAACAGAAACACTCGGTTTAGCAGAACCTTTACGAATAATTAACTGTGACGTTTTAAAGCGTGGTTAATCGCGAAACCGGTTAATCGCTGCATCCCTATTCACAAATGTGTCAGAACTCACTTCCTGCGGTCATGACCTCATGCTCTCTTTCCTCCTCATCATCTTCCTGCTCCTGATGACCCTCTTCTCTTTCTCTCTCTCTGTCTCTCTCCTCCAGCTCAGCCTCCTCGTCTATAGTTCGGGTGAAAGAGTGTTCCTGTGGGTCCATCTCCACAGAGTCTACGTTATCAGAGATCTGCACACAGGAGGAGAAATGGCTTTACATATAATGAGGCCCAAAAATCTGACCACATTAAAATTCTAGGATTTTTCAAGGATCTTAAAGGAATAATTCACCCAAATAAATGGATTATTCTTCATTTTTCTTTAAAAATCCTACGGTTATATTCAAGATTTAATTTGTAATAAAAAAAGTCATACTCTGCGTTCTCGTGATGACGAACGGATCTGGATGAGCTCCATGTTTTTGCAAGCCAAGAGGCGATTCCGCACCTTATACACACTGCGATACACCTCTGCCAAGAGTTTACATGGCTGATATCTGAAGGAAGTCAGAAAATGGGAAAGAAATTCTTTAGTAGTGTCCACAGTGTAGTATTCTCTGAAGTTATGTAGAATATTATGTCATACCTCCCTTCTCCACACGCCTGTCCCAGCAGCCCTGTGTGTTTCAGCAGGACAGCAAGTACAAAGCGGGTCACTGTGTCTAACAGAGCTTCATTCAGCAATGATGCACTGTCCCAATCTACACAAACACACACAAGACTAAATTAACATGTAATGCCATCAAAGATTTGATGTTGCACAAATGAAAAGTTCTAATGCTAATGGCAAAATTATTTCTGCTTTTAACAACCAATAACTTTATATAAAGTCCAATAACTCCATAGTTAGAATAGTTTGCACCAAAAAGATCTGGTTTACGGACAGCTGTAACATAACAGAGGATATGAATGTCAATTTTTATTTAACTGTTACCTAAGGCAGTAATTATGGAAAAATACTTTGCCACATGACAGGGATCTAAGCTTAAATATGACAACCATTCATGCTATTGTTAATTCTACATTCAGAAACAGCTTTCAGAAACACAAATGGCTTTATTTAAAAGATTAATTCACTTCCAGAATAAACAATTTTTAGAAAATGACATTGTTTCACTAGATAAGACCCTTATTCCTCGACTGGGATCATGTAGAGCCCTTTGAAGCTGCATTGAATCTGCCATTTGGATCTTCAACCCCTTGATCCCCATTGAAGTCCATTATATGGAGAAAAATCTAAATTCTTTTCGACTGAAGGAAGAAAGATATGAACATCTTGGATGACATCACATCTTCTGGATGTGAACTAATCCTTTAAAATAAATGACAACTGGCACAAAACCCTAATCAGGTGCAACAAGACAAGTGGTGTGTAGTGAGATTTTGGACTAGTGAAATTTCACTGTGGGTGGGAGCCATTATAAAGTCTGCATAGGTTAATGTGTGACTTCTGAGATTATGCAAGCACTTAGCACTTAGGTAAAGCTAATCAGCATTTATAATACTCCTTCCATAATCCTCAATATATGTTCTATTTTTGTGTCCTACCCTTGCTGATGGCATAATCCTGCATGTTTGTCCACAAGCTGTGTGTGGGCTCTTTAGTTGATCCAAGGGCCAAATCAACAACCCCGCCCCCCCCAACCCCCGATGTCATCGTCCATCACGATGTTTCACTGTAGACATCGTCCGATGCCAATTTGGTAGACATCGCCCAACCCAAGCGGAAAAGTGCCATAAGCTGAATGTAATGTAATGGACATGTTACCTGGTCCTGCAGAGACATGACTGGATTATTCTTGGTGGTGTTGATGTGGAGAACATGGAAACGGTTCTTTCCGCACAGGTCATATGCAATGTTGGTGAAGGAGGTGCTGGCAGTCTTGGGCACACGGTTATAGATGATGATCAGATCCTCAATCTCAGGCAATGCAGGAGAGTTCCGCAAGCCGTCCCGTGTCCGTCTCTGCAAGCCGTCCCGTGTCTGTCTCTGCTCCACCTCTCGCACCTCGTGTCTGGCCATGGTGCGCTCTGCAGGAGAGAGAAGATGATCATATTTACATCTACAAACATGCATTTATCTTTATTTAATTTTTTATTTGCAAAAACCCTAAAATTATATAAATTCTATTGTACACTTAAATACTTCTGTAGAATTTCTACAGATTTAAAGGGACAGTTCACCCAAAAATTGTCATCATCTACTCACTCTCATGTCTTTCCAAACCTGTATGGCTTAATTTCTTCTGTGGTACTTGTGGAACAGTGGTACTTCTTGTGGTACTATGTTGGTGACCAAGCATTTTTCCTTTCCCATTGACTTCCTATTCACTGAATGGTTACCAACATTCTTCAAAATATCTTCTTTTACGTACGTTCCACAGAAGACTGATGACAGAATTTTCATTTTGGGTGGACTAATCCCTTCAAATACTGTTTACTAGGGGTGTGACGAGATCTCGCGAGATCCGATGTGCGACCAGTCAGATCTCGCGAGAACGTGATGATATCCTCGCGCAGACCTTTTAGATATATTTGCATTACACTGGCTCGTTCACAAGTGGGGGTATGTAAGATATTTTATGTTACATCAGGCAAGTGGCCGCATGATAAGAGGGAAAATTACGCAGTGTAGTCTTTATCCAGTCATAAAAATAGAATTCACAGTTTAACGTAAACACATGAACAACATCTCCAGAACTGCTCTGAGAGTCACTTCATGACCATTTTAGCATTTGACTGGAGTAAAACTAGCGTCATATCACACGCACAGAACTGTAAAGGTATTCACGGCAACCCGTCAAAATAAAAGTCCGGTTTGATTTGAAGACATTTTGCCTATAACTATTTTTCAGTACAATGTACATAGCCTACTAATACTACTAAAATGAAACAAACATTATTTTTCAAGGAATAATCACACAAAACATTTCTTCCATGTTTTAATTTTAATAGTAAATCCCCTTTGTTTGCCAAAAAAATCTTGTTTTTTGTAATAATTTTCAATAATTAAAAGATAAATGATAAATTAAATTAAATTAATATTTTATGCCTTCATTTGATAACCAGAAATATTTAAAAACACAACACAGAATTTCTGAGGGGGAAAAAAAAATTAATGCATTTTTTTATGCATTCAAATAATTAGACATGCTAAAACACAGAATTTGGTAACAATAAATAACATGGTGAGAAATATGACTAAATTATCAATTAAAGCTTATCGCTTAAAATTATCGATTAAAGTTTCAGAAGTTTAACTGAATGAGAGATGAGTGGTTTTTGAGTGTTGAGTGGCTCTTAAAAAGGAGGAAGGGGCCCGAGCAAATTACCATGGGGCACGCAAGATTGGTAACAATGATTTTCTTTAAAGATCAAGCTCTTTAAAGTTTATTAAAATGCTAAAAACACAAGATCTGTACCATGTTAAATTATTAGCGGTGTGACGAGATCTCGTGGTACAAGATCTCGCGAGATCCGATGTGTCTCGCGAGATCTGACTGGTCTTGCGAGAACCTGACGATATCCTCACGCAGACCTTTTAGATATATTTTCATTACACTGGCTCGTTCACAAGTGGTGGTATGTAAGATATTTTATGTTACATCAGGCAAGTGGCCGCATGATAAGAGGGAAAATTACGCAGTGTAGTCTTTATCCAGTCATAAAAATAGAATTCACAGTTTAACGTAAACACATGAGCAACATCTCCAGAACTGCTCTGAGAGTCACTTCATGACCATTTTAGCATTTGACTGGAGTAAAACTAGCGTCATATCACACGCACAGAACTGTAAAGGTATTCACGGCAACCCGTCAAAATAAAAGTCCGGTTTGATTTGAAGACATTTTGCCTATAACTATTTTTCAGTACAATGTACATAGCCTACTAATACTACTAAAATGAAACAAACATTATTTTTCAAGGAATAAATCACACAAAACATTTCTTCCATGTTTTAATTTTAATAGTAAATCCCCTTTGTTTGCCAAAAAATCTAGTTTTTTGTAATAATTTTCAATAATTAAAAGATAAATGATAAATTAAATTAAATTAATATTTTATGCCTTCATTTGATAACCAGAAATATTTAAAAAACACAACACAGAATTTCTGAGGGGGAAAAAAAATTCATGCATTTTTTTATGCATTCAAATAATTAGACATGCTAAAACACAGAATTTGGTAACAATAAATAACATGGTGAGAAAAAATGAAACATTTCATAGGGCCCTAAACATGTAATTTTTGTTAAACTTTTAATAATTTGATGTGAAAATGTATACGTTTAATGATTTTAATTAATTAGACATGCTTTTTAATTAATAAAATTTAATTTTAACTATTAAAAAGGAGTCAAGAAAATTTTTAATGGAAAAAACGGAATTTGGAAAAAAATAAAACGGAATTTAGGAAAAAATAAAACGGATTTCATAGGGCCCTAACTATCCCTTAGCCTTGCCGTGCCCCCCAGTTTGGCAACCACTGCTTTATTCTTTTAAATTGATACATTAATCGTGTTTATTATATATTTTTTTATTAAAGTGAAAATCAGTTTACAAAATAATGTAAACTTGACTGACTGCTTCACAGTCAGTGACTGTGACTCTGCTTGATATTTATGTTGTTTATTGTTTATTTATACTATTTATAATTTTTGTGCAATTACTTGCCTGTCAGTTATTCAAATAGATGTTTAATTTCATAAAGTACAAGTTGATTTCAAAATGCACCTACTTTTTTGCATTTTGTGTTTTTCAGTTTTTTATCAGACTCCTATATTTATGTTCATTTATTTCACTTTAATGCCATAGAAAATGACCTATACATTGCCAGTAAAGTAAAATTACTGAAAATTAGGAGCCTGATAAAAATCTTAATTTTAGAAGAAAATTTCAGATGGCACTTAGAGGCTTTCGCGTCTGAACTCTTCATTATATACAGTGGGTACGGAAAGTATTCAGACCCCCTTAAATTTTTCACTCTTTGTTATATTGCAGCCATTTGCTAAAATCATTTAAGTTAATTTTTTTCCTCATTAATGTACACACAGCACACAATAAAAGAGTGAGAAAAATAAAAGGGTCTGTATACTTTCAGTATCCACTCTATATATATATATATATATATGTATATATATATATATATATATATATATGTGTGTGTGTGTGTGTGTGTGTGTGCATTGTAAATTTAAACTTAAATTAGCTATTTATCATATGAATGTGAAAGTCTGACCATGCAGTGGCCACTGCAGCTCCTGTTCCTCCAGAGGTGTGGCAGCAGGCAAAAGTCTGTTGAGACAGTCAAGAGGGGGAAGCAGGTCTAAGAGGTAGCTGAGCAGCGGCCGCGCCACCCAAACAGGCAACAACAGCAAAGACGTCACAATCTGACACAGCATACTGCCCGCTGCAGACATGTAGATCACACCTACCACAACCAAGCACAGGGAAAAAATTAGCAGGTCCATTAACATTTAGATAATAAATGAGTCTAGCTTAAATGTGTGTGTACATTGATATACCTTGTAGCTTCTCACGCACGCTGCCATTACCAGAGCTTTCTCTCAGAAGAGTTGCAGAGCGATTATAGATATCTGTAGCATGAGGCAATAATAACTGCAGGTGTTTGTGGAGGAGTGCCACACTACTGGAACTCTGAAAAACACAGATTAACATATGGAAGAAAATCAGCCCACTCAGACCCAATAAAATGCATGATCTTTCCAAGATGGAAATTTGTGTGTGGATATGTATTTGGTTGTGTATGTACCTCTGTAACACAGTTGATATGGCAATAGGCTAGTAGTTGCTTCTGTAAAGAGCAGAGCAGTTCATGGAGGTGAGCTGGTTGGCTGCTATCAGATGAAGATGTTCCCTGCAAGATCTTATCACTGTTCTTCTCCAGCTCTCCAAATGCCTGGTCCTGTTAGGTTAACACACATGCACACAGGAAAACAGGTTGAGAAGATAATCAGAAATGTATATCAGATGTTGCATTTACACTGTAAGTGTAATACACATACAATATGGTGACCCATTTCCTTTTTATCCTCTTGAATCTGTTTACATTCATTTAAGATAGTGTTTACCTTTTTACCTGACCAAGATGCACTAGGCTGATAAGAGCACTAGTGGAACCTCACTGAAAATAACAATTTGCATGCCCTTGCTCTCAAAAATATCGGGTTGACGTTCACCACAGCAAATTAAATAATATTTTACCAAAATATACAGAGTATATATATAAAATATTTGTACGGCAAAATAATGGCAAAAAAACTTATTTCTTTTGAGTTGTCTTTGTAGGTTGCATGCAGAAATAGGCAAGCGTATTGACTAACAAACACATGAGTCTTATGAGGTGATTAGTTTAATGAATCACAGAAACAGATTCAAAAACTATAGTCACTGGTACGAATCAGTCTGACAAATTGTTTTATTGTATGAATCAGTGGTCACTGAATCAACATCTGAGTCACTTACTAAACTGCACATTATCGTTACATTTAGTGATGACAGTCTCGAAATGAAGCAAGCACTTTTTGCTGTCTAAAAGTCTGAAACTTTTATTATTACTGACTAAATGTTTATATGGCAACATGATCATTTAACCTAAGCGAGTGTATCAAGATAAAGATAACACAAAGCTGTCTGACAGCGCAAACAGGGCCTCGAGATTTTAATCTGCAGAACTGACCGTATAAAAGCCCAGGTTCCTGAGTAAAGTTTTCATGAGGATCTCTGCCAAGTGTGTGTCAGGATGTGTATCAGAATGAATGCCAGAAACATGCGTAGAGTCGGAGGGTAGAGCGGGAGTCTCAGAGGTGTCTGGAGGACAGCTGTACCCCAGCAGAGATGCCACATGGGTGTGATCCTGCAGACTAGTGAGGATTATATCCAGCTGCATCCTCTGTGACAAAAAACACACACCCATATGACTGACAGATGCTTTTGTAAGTTAACTTAAACTGCTCTATACAAACAGGCACAAACTCGTACCTGTCCTTTGGAGAGGCTCTCCCAGCGGTCTGGTCCTTGAGGAAGTAGCGAGTGCAGTAGCTCCATTCTTTCTCTCAGAGGCGGCAGCAGCATCGTCGCTCCCACGGACAGAGTCTCGATGACAGCCTACAAAATGCAAACATCGATCAGAGAAACATACAGGCCACAGTAAACCATCACAGCAACAAATATGTGGAAAAACACAAGCAAACACAGACTTCCTGGATTTCATCCGGCACTGATGCATCCATCAGTCTGAAAAGCAGATTACGGAGTGGCCGCGCTTGCCGTCCCAAGATACTGGTGGCCACTCCACCCGCCAGCGCTAGAGCCAGGTGATTGGACAAGAGCCGTAGACATAGTTTCAAGAAGTTATGATGCTCCCTGTTGGCCCAAAAACAAATTTACTCCCTCCATGGTGCAGGAATACACACACTTAATATTTAATAACCTTAAGGATGGTTTAGAAAAAAATCAATTGAAACTTGATCTCAAATAAACAACATTAGCAGCAGCATTAATTCTCCAGTGACATTTAATGGATTTAAAAAACAAAGCAGGCTTCACTTGTCTATAGACCTTAGTCAGGTTAGACACCATATTGAATTTTACACAGATGAAAATGAGGCTGTGAAGGAGATATGTACTGCCTTTACAATGGCACGGACTGTATAAAGGTCCTACATCAGCTCACAACTTTCAAAACTGTTTTATAGAGTTTCTGTCTAATACATTTTTTTTCAGAAAGCCATTCATGCTATTGTTAAACAACAGTGCAATCCATTCAATGCACTATACTTCTATTTCTCACAGCCTCATTTTCATTCCTGTCAATAATTAAATATGGTGCTACCCTGACTAAAGTCAATGGTGGTGGCAGAACACACACTTGGAAGATGGGAAAGGCAGAGGTGGGATCTCGTTGTTGATACCGTCACAGTATCGTTCCAGGAATGAGCGCAGGTGAGAGAAAGTGCTTTCTTCTAGGTCCACACAGTATGGCCTATGCCAAGCCACCACCTGCCTGTATACATACACATAAGATTAACAAGCTAAGTTATGGAAATTTAAAAGAATAAGAAAAATAAAACAAAAGACAAAAAAAAAACTTCTTGCCATAGGAATCAACTTAATGGCACAAATGCATATGAAATATATTGTGTAATTATGTAGGTAAAGGTAAAGATAATAAAAGGGGTTTAACAGACTTGCTAACCTGTCTCTCGGGAGGGCAGTCCAAGCCAGGCTGTGTGAGGTGCCAGCAGAAATCTGCTGAATGGCCACTCCATCTAAACCAATCACCTTCTTGGGTTTGGTGATGGGGCCAGTGGAATTCCCTTGACCGCACTGACCCATTGAGTTATTCCCCCAGGCATACACTTCATTGTCTGTAACAAAAACATCCACAAAAAAAATTAAATGAAAGAGCAACTATTCAGCATATTAGCATGTAATTTTACGAGTCACATTTCACTTATGCATTTTGAAAAGCAGATGTGTGACAGTAGCATGCCCTAAAAGATCACTTGACCATTTCGCAATGCACATGAACGGTTCTGTTTAAGTACACAGCGTAAAATTTTCTGTGACATCATGTGTGAGGCCCCCTTGCTTCACCTTATCTGAGTCTGACTCAGCACATACCCTTCTGCTACTAATCTGACCACCCTCTCTCTCTCCACTATCACAAACTACAGTTTACACAACCCTTACACTTACAGTACAGCCCAAAGAAGACTCACAAAGCCAACGCACCTAATCACCAGCCATTGTTTACGGAGTTTACAATAGAATTCTATAATGCTTTATGCAATACACTGAAAGTGAAAATATTAAAGTGAGAATATTTAACGAGGATCACAAAACTAACTGCACTGTATAGACCGTAGTCAGGTTAGACGCCATATTGAATATAACACAGATGAAAATGAAACCATAATTTTAAGATGTAATTTTCAAAACTTTCAAACCTAGTTTTTGTCTACTAATTTTTTTTATTAAAGCCATTTTGCCTGCTGAACAACTGGCATGCTGTTAAACAATAGTACAATCCACTGAAAGCACTGTACTTCCATCCCTTACAGCCTCATTTTAATTGAATTTTCATGTTGTTTCACTACCAGCCACTTAAGCATACCAGATAAAGCTATTAGTTTTGTGTACTCAATTCAGTGGGTTTGCAGTGATCCCTTACCATGTGATAAAGCAAGGCAGTGGCTGTCTCCTATGGAGATGTCTACCACTCTGGTTGTGGCAAGTTCCTCGACCAGTTTTGGCCTTAGCGCAGTGGCCTCCGATGAACCACAGCCAAGACACGCACCACAGCCCCAAGAGTAAACCTGCACAATAAACACAGATAACAGTGGGTTTAAAATGATCAATCAACATGAACTTATAATTGCCCCTAATTTTGTAATCTATAATCAATATGCCCTTTGTAAGGTTCATGCATGCAAGGTCAAAAAACACTTTCGTTTTCTCATAATATACATTCAATTTCACCACATTTCTCAATGATTCGTAAATGATTCATACGAAGCAGTTCTAAGATTCAGTCTATTTAAACCCCTCCTTTCCGTGAGCCTACTCTGCTCTGATTGGTCAGATGGCCCAGTCCTTTGTTACGGATCTAACGCGGACAGCGTGTATCAGAAACTAAACACCCATTGGCATAACTGAACGACAGCTAGGGAGAGAATGTATAGAGAGAAAAAATGGTATTGATTTGACCTTATAAAATCGAGCCCGAGTCGATGATAAAGCAATCATCATGATGATTCAGTTGATCAACCAGACACTGATTCGCAAGCACGACTGAAGCAGGATGTTTCTCAGTGGTAAGTGTCAACTTAGTTTGTGGTAGTTATAAGACGTAAATGCAGCATCATTGTTAGAATTTATTTAGGTGCACGACATGTGTGGGAACTGTATCAGAGTGCCAAGAGAAGGTGAAAACCTCTGCTGCCACAAAGTATGACAGGTAGTATTATACATTTCTGCATTAGTTGAACATTATTACTTTCACAGCGTAGGACACAGCTTCTTCTCGACATGATGTTTACCACACGGAAATGCTACACTGTTTCAGGGCACTGTTCGCGGCCTGCCAATGTAGAACAGGCAGGCATTATGCAAATGTGTTACCCAGTGACGTGTAGCCATCACGGAAGTTGGATTCGAATTCCTGAAGTTTCTTTTAGGTGATTCAGAGTCGGTTCTTTTTTTGAGAGACAATAACTTTATTTACCGTGCACTGTCGGCTTCACAACTTTGCAGGTAGTTTACATTCACATACAGCAACATTTCACAAATGGAATAATAGGGGCACTTTAATCATTTCTGGCTTAGCAATGTCTCATACCTGACCAGTAGAGGTGAGGGCCAGAGATGACTGGCTGCCAGCACATACTTTGCGAATGAACATTCCCTGGAGCGCCTCCACCACCTTGGGTTTATACACACGATTGGTATCACCATGACCCAGTTTCCCTGCAGACAAACAAATATTAAGGTGTAATTGTCTTCCATAATCTTTATCATCACATATACAGCAACTTCACAAACAATAATTACTAGATAATTACTCAAGCACATCTAGATGCAGCTGCTGGCTTAAATGCATAGTGGGTGCCTGACACCATGAAAAGGACTGTCTCAAATGTCTCTTCAGTAGAACAAGTGATGTAGGTTAACTCACCATTGTCTCCACCTCCAAAGGACCAGACTGTACGTCCATCTTTAGACAGCGCAATGGTGTGGGAGCTTCCACAGGACACCTCACCTACATTACTGATGTCTTTAACTAGCGTGGGAATGTTCCTACTATTACTGTCGCCATGACCTACAAGTGTAGACAAACATAATCAATGATTCACAAACACACAAATGTCAACACAAAATGGAGCAAGATAAAATATTATGTGCATTAGTTAAACAATTTTATTTTAATCACGACAAGTTTTTGCATTTTAATGGATATGACAATGTTAATGTATTTGGTCTTAGCAGACTAGGTCCGCTACGGTCACTGTGGCTGCAGAGCAAGTATGGACTCACTACTGCCAATCTGTTGGCATGCTGCTGTGAGCACACAAGATAAGCTACTACTGCATAAATAGGCATACATAAAATCCTTAGCAGATCTAGACAGGTGGAGCTGAGGGAGGTGGAGGATTTCAGAGGAACTCTGATAGCACGCTGCAGGACCAGCTTACAGTGAACACTGAATCAGACTTTTTAAATGTTGAGCAAGTAAGCTAATTGGCTGTTAACTGCAGGCCAATCCCTTTGTGCCAGGTAATAAATTATGTGATTGCTAAATATATATACAATTATATATAAAGACTAAAGACATATTTTTCAGCATTTATTTGATTTTAAAAAAATGCAGTAAAAAGAGTAATATAGCAAAATTGTATTATTACCTAAAGATAAACATTTAATATTTTAATATATTTTAAAATGTATTTTACTCCTATGATGGCAAAGCTGAATTTTCAGCAGCCATTAATGTTGAAAGCAGTAACTTTTTTTTTAAACAAATGTGTATTATGAAAATAAAATATATATAGACAATTGCATACCTAATCTACCAAAGTCACCCTCTCCCCAGGTGTAGAGCTCTCCATCCTCACTCACTGCAGCGCTGTGTCTATACCCTGCTGATACACAAACCACCACCTACAAACAAACAAACAAACACACACAAGCAGTAGAAGACATTAATAATTTAAACACACAGATCCATTCTGAGTGTTCAAAAAGCTCAAGTGATGCATAACTACTGCATGAATATAGTACCTTTCCTTGTAGAGGGCCCTGTATCAGTTTGGGGTATTTCTGGGTAGAGCTATTGCCATGACCCAGTTTGCCATAGTCTCCATCACCCCAGCTGAACACCTCTCCCTCGCTGGTGAAGGCTAATGTGTGCCCATCTGAGCCTTTGGATGATGAAACTTTCTTATTGGCACGGTGAGGTTCAAAGGTCAGCTTCTTAAGGGTGGACTGGTTGTTTGAGTCACCCAGTCCCAGGCGCCCATAGCTGCCCTTCCCACACGCTCGGACTGAACCATCAGAGGAGATAACAAATGTGCAGTACTGGCCAGCTTCAATCTGAAGACACAAGATGTAGTCAGCAAGCATCGATTGTGAGCATGAAGGGGGATATTAACACGGACACTGTATGAATAGTTAAAATGAAAAATGCTTTCTACCGTTTGTGCATCACTGAAGCTGGGAGCGAGTTTGGGCTGGAGAATTTTCTCTTGAGTGCCCTCTACGAGCTGGTGGCTGCTGTTGCTGCCCCATACATAGACCTCACAGGTCTCAGATACCATGGCTGCCTCACCCGCCTGTATACTGTCTGGACTCGCGCACGTTCTTGAGTAGTCTGAAGCCATGCGACACACCTATCATGAAACCGATTTAAAAAAAGACAGTGTCAAACACATGGCCCAATTCTAGTCTACAGGATAATTTGAGAAAAATTAAAATTAAAATTTGGTATCATATATATTCATAATTTTCTATTTTTAGATACAACAGGACAGATTTGTTGTGCAGCATGTTATATCATGTATCTTAAAGCAGCAGAAATTCTCTTCTAGTTGTGCACAATGGCAGCTGAAACAGGATTTACTGGATGACAAGAGGAAATCAGAGGACAAATTACTCAAGGAAAATATATACTGTAAGTTTCAAGTCTGTACTGACACGCATTCATACATTAAGACTGATTCAATGAGTTTGACTGAAAAGCAGGCCTATAATCAAAATTATGGCAATGTTTGGTTGGAAATGGCCTATTACAGCTAAAGTGGTCCTGCCAAAAGCAGTGAGTGGTTTCTCTTTATTTGATTTATATTTATTTATAAACCATTTCTTGTGATTCCCATTCATTGATTTATTTGTGGTGGCCCGCCACAACATCAACAATATAATAAATGCTATGTTAATTAACATTACATTATAAATAGACTTTATTCTTATATTGCTGTGGCCGTGTGTTTATTGTCTTCATGTTCAGTAATTTACAGCATTTCGATAGCAGGATGCCTTTGTCCATATTAGGAATTTCCTGGAACGTTCTATTACATCTGTGAGTCATATTTGGAGTTTCTGCGCAAGGGCACCCTCTGGCTTCCAGTATGAATAAAACACAGCCAACATTACATGAGTGTACTAAAGCTCACACCACCCGATCTCCAGTGTTTTTTCCACCTCAAGCTTTTTTCATTAATGTAAAAATATACCTCATTGTCAGGTTCTAGCCTTGTTATACTGTGCATGCTCTCTTCATAGATGAACCAAGATTTAATAATTACAAATAATTATCCTGCTGATGATGCTTAGTATAATCTGAAAAAGAGATTGGCTTAGGGCAGGGGTTTTCAAAGTGTGGGGCACGCCTCCCCAGGGGGGCGCCAGAGCATGTCAGGGGAGGCGCGGGGAAATTATAATAAATTCAAAATATAATTATTGAGTTAAATTATTATATGTATTTTTTATTATATATAAATGTTTTTATTTAAACGATACTAAAAAAATAAGTCAAAAATATGAAAAACATTTTTCACCCAGAAGGCCGTAGCTGTGAATTCGCTGCTGTTTGACAAGCCCGCCAATATGTATATGCCTAATAATACAATGGAGCGGTTTCTGAGACCCCCCCGATTCAAAGCCTTCAACTTCAGGGCTTAAACCCAAAAGAAGACGATATGATGATCAGTATTTGAGTTTAGGGTTTACGTGGACAGGACCAGCTGATGAACCACGACCTTTATGTGTGGTTTGTCAAGATATTTTGGCTAATGACAGCATGAGGCCCGCAAAACTTCAACGACACCTTGAAACCAAGCATGTTGAGGTAGCAGAAAAACCTCCAGAATTTTTCCAGAGAAACTTCAAACCTTTCAAGGTCAGAAAAAAAATTGTTGCATTGCATATTGCCAAGGCAGGCAAAGCACATACCATTGGAGAGACGTTAATTATGCCGGCAGCAAAAGACCTATGTTCCGTGATGCGAGGAGAGGCAGCGGCTTCTAAGATCGATTCTGTTCCACTCTTTGACAACACAATAAGTCGGCGCATCTCAGACATGGCACAGGATGTGAAGGAGCAAGTTTTAGACAGCGTCAGACACAGCCCATTTTTTGCACTCCAGATCGACGAATCCACCTATGTGGCCAGCTGCGCTCAGCTGTTAACATATGTGCGGTACATGAAAAACGTAGACATTCAAGAAGAGTTTCTATTTAGTAGTCCTTTGCCCACCCACACAACAGGTGAACACATTTTCAACAAATTGAACGAATTTGTGAGAAAGAACGATATAGACTGGGAACGCTGCTGTGGCATATGCAGTGATGGGGCAAAATCAATGACGGGCCGCCACAGTGGTCTCATATCGAGGGTTAAAGAGGTAGCTCCGAGAGCCGTGTGGACCCACTGCACAATCCATAGACAAGCTTTAGCTGCCAAGAAGATACCAAATGATCTTCAGAGTGTCCTGGACGAAGCTGTGAAAATTGTCAACCTGATAAAAGCACGACCTCTAAATGCTCGTCTTTTCCACATTTTATGCGATGAACTGGGAGCGCATTACAAACAGCTGCTTCTGCACACCGAAGTCCGCTGGCTGTCTCGAGTTCTATCACGACTTCTTGATTTGCGTGAGGAAGTACTACTTTTTCTGTCAAATGTTAAATCCCCACTGGCGCAGCACATGAGTGATTCAAGCTGGATCGCAAGGTTAGCTTATTTGTTGTAAGTTGTGTCAAAAGGGAGGCCCACTGTCTTAGACTTTGAAAACCCCTGGCTTAGGGGGTAACATAAAAATCTGAAATCAACACTATTTAAGAAAGGGCAGTTAGCTGCAAAGCATATGAACAGAATCCCACAAAACCCCAACAGTATAATATTGTGGCTAAACTGATAAAAAAAAATTTTTTTGGTCCAGATTTGCATGTATTGTTTTAGTAATACATTGAACATTGGCAGCAGCTGCCTACCTTTCAAGAATGAGAGAATAAACAGAAAATAACAAAGACTCTTTTATGCTGGCAAATTACATCAACAAATATTACAACTATTTCACTCTATTCTAGGTCGTTACAATTGGTCAACTGGACTCCTGAGAACATGAACAAACTGAATGTGTAAAATCCTTATGAAAGACATCCTACATTTGAAACAAAACTAGGGTGATAACATTTAAAGTTTTGTTTTCTTAACCCAATAAAACCTACGGTATCATTTTTTAAACGTACAATTTTAAGGCCTCTACCTTATCAACATGATAAAAACAGTACAGTCTACTACATGCCTTCTGTCTGACTAATAGTTTATACTTTTTTAGCAAGTTAAAGGTCTTTTAGTATCATTCTAAAAATGTCCCACTTCAGATTGTGGTACACGTCTTTTTGATGTGAAATCTTTACTATTTTTTATTAGGTAAAGGATCATATTTATATTGTAATATAAGTAATATTTCAATATGAACATTTACTGGACTGAAGCAAATTAGGTAAAAGGGTTATTTCACCCAAAAATGAAAATTAGCCCATAAATTACTCACCCTCAAGGCATCCTAGGTGTATATGACTTTCTTCTTTCAGACGAATCCAGTCGGAGTTAGATTAAAAATTGTCTTTGATCTTTCAAGCGGTTTAATGGCAGTCAGCAGGTGTTGCAGTGCATCAGTCCAAAAGAAGTTAAATAAAAAGCGTCCATCCATAATAAAAAAAGTGTCTCACACGGCTCAGGGGGGTGAACAAAGTCCTCCTGTAGTGAATCGATGCGTTTTTGTAAGAAAAATAACTATATTTAAAACGTAATAATTTAATCTGTTGTACACAGAAGCAGCTCCGGCCGGATGACGTAGGACGTCGGGCCATTTTTTTTATGGATGGGCGCTAGGGATGGAACGGTTCGTGGAAAAAAATCAAACCGTACAGTTCTCCACACATGGTTCGGCACGCACTAGGACCGCGGTTCAACTTAAATCTGACAATGCATCTGTAATATGGTTTGCTATAAATAACACGTAAAACAAACAGGGTTCGGGCTAATGTATGTTTCTGTTGATGGAATGCGCATTCTGGCTTCCCAGTACATTACAACAGCAACGAAGAAAAAAAAAAAACAAACAAAAAAAACAACAAAAAAATAAAAAAATAAAGGAGGACAAACCATTCACTCCTGTTCAATGCGAATGCTGGAATATGAGCATTCATTTATTCCATCATCACCCGGGTGCTGATAGCACGTGTGCACAGGTGAGACCTGAACAACACGCGTTGATATCTGTGTTTAAACTAAACTCATGGAAGCTTTGCCAGTTTAAACATTTAAAAGCCAGAGGACGCAAGCTCGCGCGCACAGTGAGAAGATTTGTGCGTGCGCTCATCCGAAGCGCGCAAACCCACGCCTCAGAACGCATGCAAATATTAAGCTCTCTCTGAAGTATTGCGTTTAAATGGACAAATTCACACAAAGATTATGTCAAAACACCCGTCTTGGTAAGTATCCTATAGCAGACATAGCGGGCTGAACAATACTTACAGTGTCTTAAAGTGACAGCACTTTCTTAATATTAATCAAACGGCAACAACAAAGAAATCACTCACTGCTCTTGATTGAATAGGTTTTGTAACTTTAATAAAGATTAATCTTTAATTTATACAGTCAAATATAATCTTTACTCTATTGTATTGATACTATTTGTGCTGTTGCTTGTAGTTATATTTATTTTCTTTATTTTTATTTGACAGTATAGTTTTTCCCTAAACATATCACATACCGAACCACACCGAAACCATGACCCTAAAACCGTGATACAAACCGAACCGTGAGTAAGTTGAACCGTTCCACCCCTAATGGGTGCTTTTTATTTCACTTCTTTTGGACTGAAGCACTACAACACCCGCTGACTGCCATTAAACATCTTGAAAGATCAACGACCATTTTTAATCTAACTCCGACCGGATTCATCTGAAAGAAGAAAGTCATATACACCTAGGATGCCTTGAGGGTGAGTAATTTATGGGCTAATTTTCATTTTTGGGTAAACTAACCCTTTAAGGATGATCCATACTTCATTTTAGAAAAATCACCTTAAAATCTATCAAATATTATACATAAGGCTTCTGAACGTTTATTTGTACATCTCTCAGTTATCATTGTTCTGCATTATATTTTACATTTAAATATCAGCAACGGCACCAAATTGCATATTTTTGCTCAATTGGGTTTCTGAAAATGGTGATTTCGAGTGTGGATTCATATTCTCCAATATCATACTATATGAGCCACAAAAGCATGATGTATCAAATATGATACAAAAAAAAAAAATTTCAATTTTTTAGATTTTTAAAAATATTTTATCTAAAGTTTTAATAAATAGCTCTATTTCTAAAAATAAATAAATAGATTTAGACTATTATTTATCATATCAGTCACAACGCGAACGGCCTTGAGTGAGCAGAGGCCGGGGGATAAAGTGAGGAACGGCCGGCGGGCTGAGTGATGTGACGACCCCGAGCTGGACTCCGCTTCATCCACGGTGAAAGCCGATTCGATGATCGACAGTGCAAAGTTGATGCATTTCCTCAGCAACCAGCACGGATCAGCTCCAGGCATGACGAAGCAGATATCGTCCTCTTTTGGAAGGCCAAACAAAGTAGTTTCGCTTTCACAACGAATCACACAGCGCATTCACAACATGGCGGCAGCAAAAATACTACAGCCAGAATAAAAGTTACGCCTTCTTTCTTTGCGTGAACATTTGGGCAGCGTTATGCAAATCTTCCAACATCGTGACGTAGACATGTGGGGGCGTGTTAGAATGAGCAGTTTTAGGTAGGCGTGGCTGACTCTTAACTTTTATAAAGAATATCTCTTTGGATTTGAGACTTTAGTCTTTGCAACTTTACAGATCTTCTTTATGCACTAACAGCTTGTAACACTCCAAAGAGAAAGGAAAAATCGCATCATATGACCCCTTTAAATGTCAGGCTTCACAGGGTTATATATTAAAGTACCACACATTGTAACTGTTTTTCATTGAGGGATTCATGCGTCAAATTGACATGGCCTCCTCTTATCTATACTACAAATATTCATCAATATATTTATATTTGTATTTTACCTCCTCAAACAGACAAAGTGCAGCCTCGTATAGGGAACAGAGACCCTCCGGCGTGCGGGTCGGCTCCCTCCATTGGCTGCGATCAGCAGATGAACCCTACAACACCAGACATTCAGTCATTTAACAACATCCAACAATGTCAAACAAACACATTGGTATCAGTGTATGAGTGTATTAGTGAGCATGTACCAGTGAACGCCTCATCTGCGTCAGAATGTTCATGAAGCAGTCGTATCCCATCAGCCCCTCCTGGCTCTGCTCCAGGCTGCTGACACCGGCCGATGCAGCCAGGGCCATCTCAACCCACTCCAGCAGGTAGCGCAGTGACCCTCGTTGTGCTGCCAATCCCAGCAGCAGCTCAGACGCCAACCTCCTTCCCACCACATCGGCCCCTGAGTTCCGCATGGTCACTCCTTTCAGAAACGTGGTGACCTGGGCCAGGCAGTCCAAACCCATCGGTGGAATCTTGCTCTGACAGTGCATGACAGAAAAGGCTCGTAATCGCTGGGTTGAGAATCTGGTACGGGTGAAAAATTGAGAGTTGGGTGTGAGGAGAGCAGCGCTGCTCAATCCCTCACGACTCGGCTGCTGTGAAATAAGCAGCAGCAGCAGCAGCAGGCTCAGTGTTTAGTCCCTCCCTATCATTCATTACCCACTGCACAGAACAACAGCGCTCGCAGCCCTGAGCGGCTCGACATATGTAACCATACATTTATAAAATAAATATATTCTTTAACACACACAATATCCTAGAGTAGTTCGTTATTTGAAATGATTTGAGATGCAATAGTACTCTCTCTCTCTCTCTCTCTCTCTCTCTCTCTCTCTCACACACACACACACACACACACACACACACACACACACACACACACACACACACACACACACACACACACAGCCAACGCAATATTCCCACTATGTAATGTATTTAATTTGATAGCCTATTGTATATGATTTAAATAAGTAAATAAGCAATTAAGGTTTCATTTTTAGTTGGGCAACTTTTTTTTTATTTTTTATTTTTTTTTACAAATTAACAAAAATAATGGTTTAAAAGAAGGCCGGCTTAATCTGTACTGCACACACACAGATAAACATTCTTCAGAATATCTGATCACACACACAGCAGCGCGGGTTCACGCACGCCGAGTCTAATAAAAGATGGGATCATGTGGTTGTGAGACTAAAGAAGCCACTAAAATAAGATAATTAAGCTTATTTAATAAGAATGAATTGCTGTGAGGCTTAAACTGACCAGAAGAGTCCACGAGCTAGCACAGGCTGCCCAAGACCTGACAATAGTTTGTTCTTTAATTGCAGTAAAACACTGGATCATCCCTGATCCTGATCCAAACCTTTATAAGGGACAGCAGCCAAACACTATAAGTCACTGACTGCCCTCAGAGTTACCCAACAACAAACACAATATGATCCTGTCATCTAAAACCAGTACTTCTCATGGAAGACATGCCTGTGCGTCCAATATAGTAAATAAGGGGTGAACGCTGCCTCCTGTAGGCCTAAAAGAATAATGCGAAAACAAGTGTTTTTTTCGGAATGCTTTCTGGGGGCCGTTCTTCATACGTCGCTAACTCAGTTAACTGGATTTGATTGTTGATGATTTGGCATGGTCTTGGATTGTTTGGTTCTTCGAAGCTCATCCCGGAGTTGCTGTCATAGCAACAGGTCTGTAAGCTTTAACCTGCTCGGGAGCAGGTTTACAGGATTAGATTGCATCTTTTTAGACAGAGTTGATACTTAAAATCTGTCCCATATTATTTGAAAATAATATAAATAATGTTGTGTAGTCTATAATACTATAGACACAGCCAGTTTTACTCATTGAAAGATTTATTAGTGATGAAATAATTACTTCATAATTGTATTGAGTCTTACACACATGCTATACAGATAATATAGAGTCGTGCATTAATTTGAGTGCTGACAGATATTATGGGAGTGGCTTGATGGAGCGCAGGAGATGCAGATAACATAGATCTTGACCCTTAAGAAACTTTAATTAATGCTGTCACGTAACAAATCTGTTCAAATATAAAATTAAATGAATTGCTAATTACAACATTGAAATAAAAATGTAAAACCTGTACAAATACAAGAAATCGTGAATATAAATAATTGGGAATCATTAAAAAAATACAAATAAATTTAAAACAGTGCACATTTCATTTATCTATTATAACATTTATGTAGTTTTGTTCGCTTGGGTGTTTCCTTATAAAGGTCCAGAAATTTGTCAAGTGTTTCGCATAGACTGTATAAAAATGGACAAAATAAAAATCGAATATGAAACTGAGGCACATTCACTAAATTAGCAGGGTTTAATCAAAGAAGCTTGGTTAATTTGCCATTTCAACCTTATCTGATCTGGTATACCAATAACCAAAGGCGGACAACATGTTCTGATCAGATAATATAAATAAAGGAAGCACCATAAATTTAAATACTGTACACCTAATACATAATATTAAATCAAAAAGCATCTTGCTTTGTGATTTTACAACTCAAAGTGATCAGATTTGTTTCATATTGATACTAGATAAAAGTGAAAAAAAGACAAAAAGACAAAATTGAAAAAATAGTTTTGTAGCACCATTAAAACAGTGTTTTACTCAGAAACAGTAATCTTTTATAATCCTATGTGTGTGTATGTGCGTCCCGAATCCTGTCCATGAAATTCCATCCACTTGCCACCAGAGGTCGCCCTCCCATTATATTGACTCTCACACCACACAGACTGTAACACATCACCCTGGACTACATTTCCCATGCTCCATTGCACTAATCACAAGCTCACCTGAAACTTATCACATACAGCTGCTACCCATTACACCCACTATAAGAATCAGTCTCAAACAACCATTCACTGCCGAGTATTGTAAGCGCATATCGCTACCGTAATCTATAGTTACTTTACAGAGCCAGTTCCCGGTCCTAGTTGGAGTTTCTAGTTGTCTTTGTCTAGTCACGTCTAGTTTCCTGATTTTCGCTTGTCATGGATTATCCCTCTCGTCTCGCCCTGTTCGAATACTGTTTGCCCCTCGCCTGGACCATAGCCTGTGTTTCGGATTAACCCTTTGGATTACCCTGTTTGGACTGTTCGCCGGAGATCGACCACGCCCGCTCGCTGGACTACTCTTGTGTCTTGCTCTCAATATACCTGTTTGCCATTGTCTGACCCTTGCTTGTTTTGACTTTGTTCTAGAATAAAAGCTTTGCATATGGATCCGCACGCCTCTTGTCGACGCCGTAACTGTGTGTGTGTGTGTGTGTGTGTGTGTGTGTGTGTGTGTATATATATATATATGGGTCAATCCATCTCAAGTGGTCCAATGGAAGTTGCTTGACCAATTTTGTTTTATTTTTGTGTATTTATTTTTGATGGATTAGCTCCATGTATTGCATAACTTGGTTTAATCACAGCAGCCAGGCTTTGTGTCATGGCTCACAACAAATTATACGAACATTTACGCAAACCTCAATATCTCGGCTCAGGATAGTCCTAGCTCGTTGGAATAATAAAAAAGATCTCTAGTGCACATTTAAAAAAAAATATATATATATATATGGTTTTGAAATACCAAGAGGTATTTGTGCAAAAAAAATAGAAAATTAAAATGGACAAGCAACCAACTTTACACTTGAGATGGAATGACCCTATAAATGTATAAAAAACATTAATTTTATTTAACCTGTTAACCATAAATAATCTCATACAAAATAGTTTCATATTTCATGTATATAGTTCTCTCTGCATGACCACTGACCATAACTGCTTTTATTCAGGTGTATATATTCCCCAGCACATTATCTTCAGCACATTTAACTCGCCCATGTTAATATAACGATGTGTGATCAGTGGATGGTGGGTTATTAATGTGTCATCTCTGCTGGTCCAGATTGCTGTCTGTCAGCAGGTCTCCTCCACAGGATCTATTCAGCAACTCTTTCAGTGCTTCATTGACATCAGTATTAAACACGCTGCTAAAGCTACAGTTTGGGAAGGTGACCTGGAATGAACCCACCATTTCCTGTACCCACTGCAGCTCGGCACACAGCTCCTTTTGCTATCAAAACAAGGCAAATTGCAATAATGTGAACTATCTGACATTGGTATTCTGAAACACAAAAATTCTTATTAATAATAATAAGCCTCTGAAACGTTTTTCCCCAGATGAGCATATTCATTTGTTAAATGTTAATACAGTTTATAAAAATGTGCAATGGGTATAGTTCCTGATCCAATCTGTTTTCCAAATCTAAACCACCTTTTTAGTCTTTGATATTTATACAAGTCTGAAACTCAGGTGGAAGAACCTTCTATAGATAGTGCAACAAAATCACACTGAACCAGTAAGTCATTATTGACTACAGGCAGATAAACGCAAACAATAGAACCTTTTACATTTGCAAGATCACACATTTACGTATGAGGAAACTAAGCAAATGAAGTGTGCCTGTTTCCTGTTGCAGTAAGTGAGTGATGTTATGAATGCTTGAAAGTGGACAGTGGGCTTTATTGGATGTGCGCAGTGCATTTGTGCACGGATTGAGATGCTCACAATGGAGCAAATAGAGGCAGCCTTGTACCAGAAGATGAAGATATCTGAGAAATTAAATGAGAAGCAGATGGAAAGAATGGAGGGAGTTGGGGGAGATCTCACCATGGACAGAGAGCAACAGAGGGAGCACATCCTCAAATGGTTTGTGGAGACTCAGGCTGTGCTCATCCTGTGTGATGGAAGTTTTCCGCCCTGGTTCCAGGGCTTCATCTCCAGACAGTAAGAACTATTGATAGATAAGAGGTTTGGTAACTATTTCACCATGAGCTGTAAAACCATCTGAACATATTAAATACTGTCTGTTTTTGGTTATGACATCTGAGATGGAAATGTTTATGATTGTAAATTGAGGCAGTTGCACACTGGTGCACTGTGATAACTGTTGCTGTTTGCAGTGAAGCAGAAGATCAGCTCAAAGACAAGAATGTTGGTTGCTTCCTTATCAGACTCAGCGAAAAATCCATTGCGTATATTCTTTCATACAAGTAAGAATAATGATTTTTTTTGGTTAACACTACCATAGGATCTCATTTGTTTGTAGTTTAGCTAATTTAGTCATTTTAAGTAAATACTATATTATGTTAAAACCCCCAGGGTAGAGGTAAAATCAACTAGCTAATGGTTCTTACCTTTAAAAACAGTTTGAAGCTGCTGTGTTTTGAGTTGTTTCATTTGTCTAATGCTTTATGTTGACAGAGGACAGGATCGTTGTCGCCATTTTGTGATAAATCAAACTAAGACTGGCCTGTTTGTCGTTTCTGGTGATTCCACCACTCATAACAGTCTCACAGAGCTGATCAATCACTTTAAAACCACATCAATCCAGCCTTTTGGAGAGTACCTGACTTCATACGACACAGACATGGACTCTGTTGGAGAGGTATCAATCATTCTTTTTAAAGATGCACTCAGTAATTATTCTTAATTTAAAACGTTTAACATAAAGAAATAAAATCAGGTTCAATCACATTAGAAGAAGAATCTATTTATTATCAGTAGCCTAATAAAAGTGGTTTTATTTGAAGTTGATCTCATAACCAGGCAAATTTCACACAATTTATGTTAGTAATCCCCTGTTATTGGACAGATTTGATTTGAAAAAAAAAATCATGGTTAACTGTGTGTGTTGGGCATTTTGGCCAGCACAACATAATAATACAAAAAATACCAAGTTTACCTTTAAATAGATGAAAACAAAGAGAGAATACCAGCACAGTAGGAAATGTTTTACAATGCATGTCCTATTTGTCATTCTTCAAGGACGCCAAAAACAAGCTTTATGACGTGGTTCAAAATAAGCCCAGAGTTAATGCGGGTGTTAGCGTTAAGGCTCTAAGAAGTTTATGGGAACAAACTAGCAATGTCCCGCATGGCACGCCTCCTGTTCTGTATTCTAAAAGTGCCCGGAAACTCGCAATCTCCACCTCTATTGACAGGAACAGCCTTTCTCAGGTAACCAAGTCAGCTGCTTCCTTGGTTACTATCTTTCTGGTAACCATGGCTAATTCTAGGGTGCAAAACTTTTTTTTTTTTTTTTTACATATCTTGTTTTGAAATTCTTGTATGTGTTGTATAAATCATTAGGGTACAAAAGTTCCACCAGTGCCAAAGAAGAATACACGACTTCGGAATTCCTTAAGCGCTGGTTTTCCTGGTACAAATACATCCCAAGAACAACACAGCTTTTCAGAATCAAGGACATCTGGAAGGTCAGGTGGTGATGAGAGCGTAAATGGCAGGAAAAGTGATACCTTGGACACAGAAGGCTACAACTCTCAATTAATGTTGCCTCCCCACGATGAAAACAATCAGTCTTCAACCTCTAATTCTTGCAACATTATGCCCTCCACCCCTCAACAACCTCCTTTAGCGCCACCCAAAACAGCCTCCTGCTCTTATGCTGTCCTCGATCTTAAAAAACGCCATAGTGGTGGTGGCCGAGTGCCATATAATGACAAAGAAGCCCTACAGCCCAATCCACTCTACCAGACCTCATCTGTGGTGTGCGCTGGGCAGCAGGACCAGCCCGGGCAAGAGTATGACAACCGTATAAAGCCCATCGATAACCTTTTAGCAGAAAACCCCTATCAAGACATACCTGAACAACGTGACAGTAATACCTATGAGCACATAGCTGAGAGCAACACCTATGAGGACATCCGAGTTACAGACAGCAACACGTATGCAAGTTTGGATGAGATGCATCCACACTCACCGAGCATCTCGGGAAAGAAGGTGAGACCTGATATAATTACAAACAAATATATATCATTCCTATACTGATTATTTTGTATTAAATTTAAGAACTGTTATTATTTACAGAATCATAAGTGGTGGAAACTTCGACTGGAGAATAAGAAGCAATAGTCATCCGGTGAATGTAAAAGCTGAGAGAAATATTTCATTTAATGTTTTATTGTTTTGCTACACAATTAAGTTCAGAGATATTAAGTCATAATTTTCACGTTGGTGTGTACAGTATATATAACTTCAGTATAGCATGGTTTCTACAGTTACAAAATGCTGAAAATTGTTTATGCAAATACAATGGTACAATGAGATGGTTATGATAAAACATATTTTGAAAATGTATTTGAACACCTGTTCTGATTATATCTATTGTTATCACTGAATTTCCCACTATTTTCCCAGGACTTTATCTTTCAATGTAGACTAGACCAGTGTAATTTACTATTTTGTAATTAGTAGTGCTCACAGCCTGTCACGTTTAAACCTAGTTTCAACAGTAAACACAATTCAGCAATCCACACTGTTTGTATGATACAATAGTCTTTCTCTACACATCTGAACCCATAATACTGCACAGCATAACTGAATAAAGCATGGGGATAATATACAATAAGTGCTCTGTATGAGGTTAGTATTGAGTGATTGCATTGTGCTTCCTATCTCCTTGAAAGTGATGTGCTCCCCTATTTTATGTTCATATTGAATGCTGTAGAAAACAGTTTAGAATATAGACCTACTGTAGACCTTCTGTCATGCCTATATTTTGCCCTCCACTATAGTATTACGTGATCCATTGCAATTCGGATAATAGCTGCCTTAATGGATGGTGATATACTCATATCTCTAAGCCACTGAGACATTTCCCCATGGTTTGGACTCTAAATATTGATCCACTTACAACCTCATGATGGATTGGTCAGCTTTTGGAGGTTTCTTAACAGACTTATGCTATATAATAAACTGTGCTTGCATATACTGTATATATTTTTTATTTTTTTTGCCATCAAGCTAGCAGCAAAAAACAATATTTCAGAAGCTTCACTGTATTAGATTTATATAAAGCTTGTGCTTAATTTCATGATAATTATACATGTTTATACTTTAAATTGTATAGTAGCCTACTCACATGATGAAATCAAGTGCATTGAAGATCATGTTCTCAAAATGTTGTACCAAGTTGGGGGCCAGCTTATGAAGTTACCCATTAAGTTAAAAACAGAAGAAATCAAACTTTCTTTATTTCAGCTAGATCTGAACTAGAGGGAGACTGACAAATAATGTGCAATTATCTCAGCCTAAAACAGAACTGTGAGAATGGCGACATGTAGGCTAGTTGTTAAATAAAATATTAGGATCACATTAAAGGGGTCATATGATGCGATTTAAATTTTTCCTTTCTCTTTGGAGTGTTACAAGCTCTTGGTGCATAAAGAAGATCTGTAAAGTTGCAAAGACTAAAGTCTCAAATCCAAAGAGATATTCTTTATAAAATGTTAAAGTCAGCCAC